TGGAACGGTGTGTGGCGAGGGGAGGGGAGTACATTGAAGGGGAGCATTCAATTGTAGAATAATTTTTAAAATAAAACTCTTTTTCATAAGCAGTCTCGTTATTTAATAGCCAGACCTCGTAAAATATATTTTATGTTTTGTAATGTGTGTGTATATAATAATGCATAAAATATAATTCTAATATTCACTAATATGTCTATATTATAATGTGTGTCTGTCTGTATGTATATGTATATATATATATATGTTACACGTAACAAAAAGAGATGAAGTAGCTACATACGTAGTGCTAGACGTTTCATTAGCCTTTTAACATGTATCATTAATCAATAAAGTTGTTGTGAGTTAGTCTTTTCGCGAAAAGGCTAAAGTGCGTCAGTCTAATTGAGGAATGATCGTTGATTTCGCCTTTATGCAAAAAGACGCCATTTTGCATAAAGGCTAGCCTTTTCGTAAAAAGGCTAATTTTTCAAAAAAGTTACGACATGTATATATATTTAGAACTTGATAATACTCTATTATTGTTTAAAACTCTGATTTTAATGTTATCATTCAAGTTTTATTATTAATAGAGATGATAATTGCAGAGAAAAATTGTAATTTTTCGGCAATATCTATATACGAGGGTGGTCCCAGAAGTACCCAACCTAACAAAGAAAACACAAAAAATTTGAGAAAAAATATCTTTATTTCTCAACATAGTCTCCTTTTAGCTCGATACACTTTTCCCAGCGATGTTCAATAGCTTCGATGGCCTGTTTATAGTAAGAACCGTTGAACTCCTCAAAATAGCCATTAACCGCAGACTCCACCTCTTCATTGTTGGTAAATCTTCTACCACCGAGCCATTTTTTCAAGTTTGGAAAGAGAAAATAATCCGAGGGGGCTAAATCTGGCGAATAGGGTGCGTGGGGAAGCAATTCGAACTTTAACTCAACATCCTCTCGACGCTGCTTTTGTTCGATTGTGAGCAAGCGCGGCACCCACCTTGCGCACAGCTTTCTCATCTCCAAATTTTCAGCCAATATGCGATGTACAGCACTTTTTGAAATGTTTACCATGTCTGCTAGCTCGCGCACTTTCAATCGACGGTCACCCAATACCATTTTGTGGATTTTCTTCACCATTTCTGGAATGGCCACCTCACTTGGTCGACCATTGCGATGTTCGTCTTCGCAGCTCGTACGGCCTCGTTTAAACTCTACCACCCAATATTTTACTGTTGTAAACGAAGGAGCAGACTCCTCCAGAGTAGAATCCAGCTCGGCTTTGATATTGGTTGGGCTAAGACCTTTCAAATGAAAGTATTGTATCACATAACGATGACCAATTTTTTCCATCTTTGCAAATTCACCGAGATCGTCCACTATTGATGGCTGCCAAACAAATACTGAACAACGTAGCGTCTTCAAACTTCATAGTTAAGCTTTAGAAAGTTGGTGCTTTCCCCTACAGTGATTTTTTTTATACAACAACCGCCATCTGTACGTCAGGTCGGGTACTTCTGGGACCACCCTCGTAATATACATATTAAAAGTATGCGTAATTATTTATACAGCATTCATATAATAAAAAAAATCACGAATTTAATAATAAATTATCGAATATTTATGTTAATAATCAAAAATTTGTATTAATTGTCGGTAATATCATCGTTCTTCAATTATCTCCAGGCCCCATTGATATTCACGAAAATTTGCCCAAGGCCGACAGTCTTTAATAGTATCTCGTTAATGGCTCAGTATATCGCACAAATAGACAAATACTGGCTCCAACAAATTTGTCGGTTGGTGTAATTATCGGTGCCATTTCATAAGACGCTTCATAAGACGAAAAGTAGCATGAGTATGATTATGTGATATCAGTTTTGACACTAGCTTCTTTACACAGTCAGTTGTACAGTCGTGGACAGAACAATTGCAACACTTTTTTTCGATAAGTTTTGGAAATGTAGTTTGCTCACCGAGCGAGTAATTCTTACTTGAATCTTACCATGGTATGAAGGCAAGGATATGTTCACTTTGTGATAACCCACTGCGCAGTCAAAGTTTGACGTCATACTCGGAGCCAATTAGATCGTCCGAATGATTTGACGATAAACATGGTAGCTCTGATCCTTGAAGTGTCCGGAGAAATGTGATTTCAAAACGCATAATGGAATCTCTTTTACTCTTTAATTATAATAGGATTCTACTCTTTAATTATAATAGGATATTACATAGGCAATGTTTTGTTGCGTGAAAGATTGCAATTATTTTCGGAAAACAAAATTGCTTAACGGAAACAATAAAAAATATTTTCCGAAAGATTTTACAATCGTAACTAAGTGGATTGCAGTATGTGGAAAACAAAACGTTAACATAAAAAAGGTAAGATTTCCTATTTTTTGTAAATGTATAAATGTAACGAAATAAACTATATATAATTTTGCTCATGTTTAACTATTATATGTTCCCAACACTTCGAGCATCATGCAGATCGTGCTTCATATTGCCATCGAAAGAAAAGAACAGGATATTTATTAGTTTATAAAATATTATTTTAAAACAGATTTTTTTTCCTGTAAACTTAAAATTAAAATGATATATCTGACGAGCATCCTGCTAACATAAGCTATTTGGAAACAGTTTAAATTTAAAGGATCCCTCACAAAATTAATGAAAATTGGTTTTGGGATGAATTGGCTAAATTTTTTATTATAGCTCTCATCATTCTGAATAAATGTCTCAATGAATACAATTTGATCCTATGGCTGGTTCAGAGATGTAGGTGGTCAAAGTATCTTCTGGCAAAAAAGCGATGTACATATGCGTCATTATCAATTCTTTAAGGCTTTGTTAGTAATATATTAGGTGTAGTAAAAAGAAATCTATTATTTTTCCAATAGATGGCTTTAGTAATCTGTATCTCGCGTTGTATAAGTGCGATCGGGTTACGCCAAATGGCGTTAGAAAGATAAGATTTCGTACTAAAAAAACTTCTCAGACAGTTTTGTGATTGCTTGAGTCAGTATTGTTTGAGCGCGTGTCAAAGATGGACACCAACAAAGAGAAAATACGCCATATTTTACAGTTTTTCTTCGATAAAGGCGAAAACGCAAGCCAGGCGGCTGAAAATGTGAATAGTGTTTATGGTCCTGATACTGTAACAGTCAATATCGCGCAATTTTGGTTTCGTCGATTCCGTTCCGGTAATTTTGATGTCAAAGATGCACCACGCTCTGGAAGGCCAATTGTCGAAAATGTCGATAAAATAATGGAAATCGTCGAGTCCGACCGTCATGTAAGCACTGTTTCGATTGCCCAGGAGCTAAACATTGCACAAAAAACCGTTTGGAACCATTTAAATAAGGCTGGATACAAAAAGAAGCTCGATGTATGGGTGCCACACGAGTTAACGCAAAAAAACCTCATGGACCGAATTTCCATCTGCGAATCGCTGCTGAATCGCAACAAAATCGACCCATTTCTGAAGCGAATGGTTACTGGTGATGAAAAGTGGGTCACTTACGACAACGTCAAGCGAAAACGGTCGTGGTCGAATCGCGATGAGCCGGCGCAAACGGCGGCCAAGCCAGGATTGACGATCAGGAAGGTTTTGCTGTGTGTTTGGTGGGATTGGCAGGGAATCATCTACTATGAGCTGCTCCCCTACGGCCAAACTCTTAATTCGGACCTGTACTGTCAACAATTGGACCGTCTGAAAGAAGCAATCGCTCAGAAGCGGCCAGCTTTGGCCAATAGAAGAGAATTGTGTTCCATCAAGACAACGCCAGGCCACACACATCGATAATGACTCGCCAGAAGCTCCGGGAGCTTGGTTGGGAGATTCTTATGCATCCACCTTATAGTCCGGACCTGGCACCAAGTGATTATCACCTGTTCCTGTCTATGGCGAATGATTTTCCTGATGAAAAATTCGCCTCAAGAGAAGCTTGTGAAAATCGACTGTCCCAGTTTTTTGCCAATAGGGACGAGGGTTTCTATGAGAGAGGCATAATGAAATTACCTTCAAAATGGCATCAAGTTATCGAACAAAACGGTGCATGATCTAAATCGGATCATTCTAACTATGCTAAATAAAGCCTTCAATTTAATGCAAAAATAATAGATTTCTTTTTACTACACCTTATATATGAATAGTTAGTAATATATATTAAATAGTTATAATATAATACAATAATAGTGATTATAATAAATATAATAATAATTATAATAAATATACAATTACAATTATAATTATATATTACAAATACAATTAAAATTGTTATAATAATTACAATTATCATAATTATAATTATAATTATATATTTGTCTAAAGTTATATCAATCTGAAGGCTTATAGTACGACTCCGGAAGATTAAATGTTGAAACCTGTTAAGGCCTCGTAGATTTTACTTATGCTATAGTTGGATTTATGTAAATATGTTAATCAAGGATTTTATTTTTCCTGATTTTACAATGCTTGAGTGTTCGTTACAATCACAATAACAAGATGTCCGTCGTTCCATCTCCACTCCTGCTAACTCTCGATGCGCCACCTATTATTATACTGATGCAAGCTCCATGTCCACCAATTCATTGCCAAAATCTTTCCAATTGCTGACTAAATCTTCGTTTGTTATCAAATTACATACTGTGCTGCTATTGCCTTGTGCAATATGCATTAGTGATCTGTCCGTTCAGTATCCAACGGACAATAAGGAAATACCTTGGATTCCTGGGGCTGTCCTGAAAGCAGATCGACGTGTTTGTCTTGGAGAATCTGCCAAAATGTACCAGCTCCAATTAACAATTTGTTTCCCGTTTGTAATATTCCTCGTCTGCTAATATCAAATGCCTGAGTATTTTCAGAAATGTGGGATCAATGCTTTGCGGTATGCACTCACAACACTAGGTGACGGGATCAGGGATTTTAATGCGCTTTATACAAGCTATTCTTGAGCGAAAAAAAAAAAATACATGTCCGACCGTTTCAGCCATTGGCCCATAGTTTCGAAGAAATTGATTTTTTAAACAATTATTATAATATAATAATTTGAAAAACGTACTATATAAATAAAAATATCAATATCTTTATAAATTTTATTTAATGTTATTAGTTTTAATTACTTTATTTTAATGAAATTTTATGAAATTACGTACTAGTATTTTATAAACACACATTTCTAGAAAATTTATTATTATCATCGTTGTCATCGTCGTTGTTGTTATTCACATGAACGTATAAATAAGATAGTAATAAAAACTGTTACAATTTCTGATGAAATTGGAAATTGAAAATTATGATTAAGAACAAATAAGTCATATGATTGTAATCTTCTTTTGATTAATATTATAATCGATTTATTAATAATAATAGAAAACTGATCGTGTTTTATAGACGTACATTGTAAATATATAGGATGACATAAATCATAAAAACAAGAAAAACATAAATATTTACCGCATTGTGAACATCTTACAAATGAATTTTTGTTGCAAACACAATAACTTTTTTTAATATCTAGCCGAAAGCAGATTTGATTAGCATTATGGAAATAGCTTCTTTTAGGAATCAATTTTGATGAAAATCGAATTTTTATTCTAAAATAAAATTCATTCTAAAATTCATTCGTAAGATGTTTACAATGCAATAAATATTTATGTTTTTCTTGTTTTTATGATTTATATTCCCGTAAAATGTACGTCTACAAAACCCAATTAGTTTTCTATTATTATTAATAAATTGATTAATTTTAATCAAAAGATTACAATTATATGACTTGTTCCTAATCATAATTTCCAATTTCATCAGAAACTGTAACAGTTTTCATAACAATCTTATTTATGCGTTTATGTAAATAACAACAATGACGATGATAACGATGATAATAATAAATATTCCATAAATAAGTATTTAATTATTATCTATAATACTAATATGTAATTTCATGAAATTTCATTACAATTAAAAAGTAATTAAAACTAATAACATTAAATAAAATTTAAAGATAATATTTCTATTTATACAGTACGTTTTTCACAAATTACTACAATAATTATTTAAAAAATCCATTTCTTCGAAACTATGAGCCAATAGCTGAAACGGCCGGAAACGTATAGTTTTTTTTTCGCTCAAGAACAGCCAATAAAAAGTATCGAAATCCCCGTCACCTGGTGTTCCCCTTGCCAGTGATTTTTGGCAGTATCAAACACTCTATCCTCATCCTTTTATTATTATATTATATTGAGATTGTATTTCGAGCATTATCCAATGAGTAATATGAGTCTTGTTTTGATTTAGTCCACTAATAGGAACATTTACCGTGTTAGGCGATAAACGTAGCTCAACTAATACCTTGGTTATTAAATTAGACTGAGAACCCGGATCAAGAAGCACCTTGCAGCTATGTTAGCGACTTTTCGCATTAAATACGTACTCTTGCTGTCAATAATAAAACTTGCTGTGAAGCCTTTGCACAATTAATGGAAATGACACTGTTGTTAGAATCCTCCTAGCTCGTGCGTTTTTTATTTCCATCTTTCTTCATGTTCTCTATGAAGCAGAAAATTATGCCTTGCCTTATAAATCTTACAGCCTAATGACTTGTAGTCTTTGCTCCAATATCCTTTTCTTAAACAATTGAGACAGAGCTTTAATTGTCTTATCTCATTAGTACGTGATAATACAGGTAACTTCAGTAATCTTTCGCAATTATATACACGATGATAGCTCTTGCAATACTCGCATTTCTAATCTGATACGTAGACGCTAACGGATTGGAATGGACTTCTTCCTCACGTTGTGCTTGTGCGAACACCAATTTTTCTTATTCCACCATTTCTAACATATAATATTTTCTAGTTTGAAAATTTGAACAGTTCATTCATCTGTGGTACCACGCTCAGCCCAACTTGGCGTATACGTTCTTCCCATTCCTTTTGCGTATGATAATCTAGCTAAATAATAGGTAAATAATAAGTAAATCAAAATCGCGTCCAATTGTCCTATCGGCAATTTTAAAGCAGCTAACGCTTTGACATGCATCCTTATATGATTACAAACTGCCTAATTACTAGTCTGTTACCCTTTGTTATCGGCGTGGTTTCAAACAATTCTTTTAGTTTGTTAATAATTAGTCTTCGGTATTAATTTTCGTAGTACTTAGTCAACAATTTCCATGCTATCTTATAGTTTTCTGCAGTGGTTTCTAATCCTTCTACAAACTGCAGCGCTTCATCCTTTAATGTGCTATTTGTAATGTTTGCACGCTTAGGAAAGATCTCGCAACAATTGAATAGACAGAACTACATACTTCTGTCTTACATAGTCTTTACATACTTCTTATATTTGCTGCTTCTTATATTTGTCATCAAAAATGCACGCTATCCTTGGCACCGCCATTACAACAATGATCAGGAAAAACGTTTTCCCTTCGCTTACGCTCATCACGCCATTTCACACAGCGCCGCTCAGAAAGAAAAGAAAATGCTATAGCATCTTTCCTACATCTATTGATAACGACTACACTACAATTTCCTCCACACTTAATTTGAAAAAACCAAAACAAAAAAAGAAAATACGAATCTACTTATAAGTCTAAGGTCTGCCGAGGCTTCGGTACTCGGCTTAAGCGCCTCCCTACTTCAGCGAGTACTTGATTCCCCGAGGTTTCGTCGAAGTTGTTTCGCCCGGGCGGCGCATGCTTATATTACCGTTCGCAGTAATCTTATAGTCGTTAACATTACAATTAGTCGATAATGCCGCCTCCTTATTACTGTTATTGTTATATTAAGTTACAGAAATATTTCTATCCGGCGCAATACTGTCTTTCGGTAGCTCCGAATCTTTGATCATACTAGATAAATGCAAATTACATGCCCGCAGTTGATCAATGTGACGTCTTCAGATACGTCCATTCTATTATAACATCATAAGTAACCGGGCTCGTTTGTTTAACAATTGCTGCTTGTCTCCACGACTGCGTCCTATAATCTTTAGTCATCACGGAGTCGTTAACTCCAAAAGTAACTAAACGATTGCCCTTAAAAAAATGTTGTTGATCTCTTTGCTTCTGCTCAACTCTACTTCTAATATCGGGTTTAATAATATCCAGTCTCATTCTCAAATGTCTGTTTAAGTGCAATTCGGCTGGTGTCTTTTCCGTCGTACAATGTGGTGTCGAGCGATAATATAATAAAATAAATATTTACATAAGACATCCTATCTTGTATTATCTTTAAGTAATACTTTAAACTTCTTTTTAAAAGTGTGCACGGCATTCTCAGCCGCCCCGTTTGACGCAGGATGACGGTACAGTTTTCGTATGCTTAATAGCATTTCGCAATACAAAATCTTGGAACTGCTCGCTCGCAAATGCCGGCCCATTATCAGAAACAATTTGATGTGACAGCCCCATATGCTTATGATATATACTC